AGCATGTCACATTAGTTTTCCAGTGCAATTGTGTGAGTGTGTGAATGCCGCACATGCGACATCAAAACGAAGTCGTTTCGATACCACCCAAATTTCGCTGTCGCTCCATTTCTGGCGGTGCTACTCAAACACTTCCAAGTATGTGACACAATCACTACTAGAAAACAAAGGGGCTTATCAGCACTTTTAAAGCCACGTGGAGAAATTGTTGATGGTTCTAACGTTAACTGCCTGTAGAAAAGCATCAAATTGGCTGAAAGGTGTTGAAATGTAGCGCGTGTCGGTGTTTCAGTACCCTCTAGAGCACTAAGGTTTAAAGTAAGCTTATTAAAAATTTCTGTTGTTTTCAGTGGCGTCAACGCTCCCTTTTGCTTGCCTGTTGAACACCTAAGCATGTCGTCCTGGCGAAATTTTATGTGTATGTAACAAGGTGGCATGGTATAAATTTAAATTTGCTGATGGGTTTAAATCAGAGACAAGAGAAACCTTTTTGCAGTAAAATCCACCCACCCCACACCCGCCAATATAAAAGCGCGGGTCGCCGGTGCAGGCGATGAGGCTTCCGTTATTACCTACTTTAATTTAAAGAGAGCAGTCCAGCGATTTAAGAGCACGCTTTGCGTCCGTATCAGCTCCGCTCGGCAGTCCATTCAGGGCAGGAGGCGCCGCGCGGGAGTGACAGAGACGGATAGAGACCGCGAGCGCGCGTATCGTGTTGTATCGCCTCTGATGTGCCGAGCCGAGCCGAGCCGAGTCGAGCCGAGCCGAGCCCCGGGCCCCGAAAAGCTAGCCGACCTCTGTGTCGAAAGCGAATGCGATAGCGAGCCAGGCGTGCGTGTACGCACGTGTAGGGTATCGCGGGCGTGAGACCGACTGTACCTACGGACTGTTCACTTTGTAAAACTGAAATGAAACCACAACCTTTTTCCTTAAATGCATGTGGCTTGCTAACTAGGTTGACACGTACGTTGTGCCATGCCAAAAGCGAATAATTGCGTCACGTCACATCGATTAGTTCAGGTACCGGGGCCGAAGTGCAGGTCAACTTATTGTCTGTCGCCGTACTACTGAAACAAACATAGAAAGTTGCACACCAAATGTTGTGCAGATTAAGTGTGCGAATTTTAAACTCTTCGTGGTGTCGAGCTGAACGTGAATTGTTGTGCAAACATTAGACATTTCTGTGGAAACTCAAGTGTGATGCTTCACTACTATGTGTGATATTTGCGTGGTACTACACTGTGATCCATGTATGGTACTACAGTTTCAACTGTTATACACATGGCATTGCACTTATGACTGTTGGACTGTATCGTATCACATTTGAGTTTCCAGAGTTTTCAAACCTTTAGTTAACTAATGCCTAATGCTTGCACACTATAAAGTTTGCAGTAGGTAAATACCATGTAATGTGCAATGTCAGAAGTTGCCCACATATTGTGTGCAAGATTTGCCCATTTAAAAACCATTGAGGGTGTGCAACCGTTTGACATCAGGTTTGAGCAAGCTCCACTGAACAGTGTACGTAAACAGATTTTGAAGCCGGCCGGCCGCACGTGGAGTGACGTGACATCTCGGGAGGATGAACTCTTTATGGCTTTTCACTTCCTCAATGGTTTGACCGTCGGCCAGGCCACTCTGACACTCGATAGTCCAACTCAATATTTTGAGACAGTTATTTTCCGGGATTTCTGATGGTTTCGTTGCTTTACACGCTTTCAGTACAGCACCATAGTGTTATAAATTTGTTCTTAAATAAACGAACTAACGTGGGTGAAATTTCTACTTCGACTACGTCGTTTTTTTGAAAGGCAATTACATCTTATACAAACATAAACAATGATGCGTTATTGATTAACACGTTTCCTGCGGTGTGGCCACATGTTAAATCATAGGCACTAAAAATTAGCCGCAGGGAACGTGTTAATTTGAATTCTTTTTCGTTAAATTGTGATGAATTCTGAGAACGACCAAGTTTGACATGAAGAGATAATCGTAATTTTACATTTTCAACAAAGCAAGTTTAAAAAAAAATTAAAGTAACTACTGTGAATGTAACGTTTAAGACAATCTCCACGATATTAAATTGTCGCAAAACTGTTTGCTGATGCATGAATACGTTTTTGAATGTGGACAAGGGCATGGACTGTAAATAGAGGCTATAGAATTTTCCAACAAGAATCTGTCCGAATAGTTCTGAAACATGATCCTAACAATTTGGAAAACGGTTGCCATCCTCATTCAAGGGCCCACAGCGCCTGATAGGTGGGCAACATCTTTTCGGTTGTGCTCGCGTGTACTGCGGGGTGGCCTACCCCTAGTCTCGCAGGCGCCGAGCTATGGTAGTGTGGTGAATGATCGAATTAATCTAAAAAACGTTAACAATTCTTGTTAACCATAAACGGACCCGTAGTTAAGAAAATTTTCTATTTTATAGTTTTGAGCAATGTTTTTTGAATCTAGAAGTTTGCGCCGCGTCCTAGCGCCCTCTCACTCGTACAATCTGCTTTTGGACGCCATGAAGACATTTCATGCCTGCTCGCTGCATTGTTCTTGTTCTTGATGTGTCGGTTTGCGTGATATTTTTTTGAATTAGCCTATTAATCATTACTTTTATAATTGAACACAATTTTTGGCATGAGCGTTGGGCAGCGCGCGCGGGGGTCCGACTACTCAGAGAGCAAGGTGTCTATTGTTGCTCTGGTACCCGGGCGTGGGTGTGGAGCTGCGTAACAGGTGGTGTTGAACCATGACGCCCTCCGCCCTCCCGCCAACTGTCTGGCAGAAACGGGTCCGTTTAAAAACGGGCGTACTTTCTAGAAGATCCCTACAAAGAGCAGAGAACTCCTCAGTGAGTGTTAAACTCATTCGGTGTAAGCTTCGCCCAGCTTCACCGGTGCGGGTAAACGTGGGCTTTTGTGGTGGCATATATTTCCCACTTATTTCCCTATCTCCCAAACTATAATGATCGCCGAAAGTACCTCAATTTTCGGAACATCTATACCATCTATACCTGGAAGATGTTACGCCCAGTGAAAATGTCACATAGAATCCACGTCGCATTCACTTCCTACCTATGACACTCTTAGAAAAGCAGGCCAAAAGTCGACATTCTTGAAAGAATGCCAACGATTGTCATATTTAAATGTGCCGCCATGTTGACATGCTAGTGAGCAGGGGTCAGAGGAGTGTCGCAGGTGCCCAGCCCAGCCGCCACGGTCCAATCTGCCGCTGGCCGCAGTCGCTGCCCGAGTTATGAATGAACTTTCCTTTTGTCACTGCCCCGTCCGTCCAGCGGTGCAGCAAATGAGTTCCGTCGCGTGGTGTGTCGGGCGAGGGCGTAGCCGGCCCGCTAGCGGGGCGGGGCGGGGTGGGCGGCGGAGCAAGGGCGCGGCCCCCTAGCGCCTGCGGGTGGAGCGGGCTGTGGGCTTCCCTTCCCCCCATTGCCGTGCGAATAGGACTGCTCGTCGCGCTCTTAAAGGTGCACCATTCATTTTTTATTATTTCGACTTGCGTCATATTCGCAGTTTCTCTTTCTCCCTCCCTCTCTCGCTGGATTAAGGAGAACGGCCGAGGAAAGTGCGGGATATGGGGAAGGGGGTTGTTTAAGCGAGACTTGTCGTCGCCAAGAAAGGCCACCCACCTCCCACCTTCCTACAGCAACAGGGACCCCGCTAAAATACAAGAAATGTTGTAAGTCTGAAATTTATGAACCCAAAATTGTGTGACTCTTTAAAAATTTCCTGCCTTTAGTAGTTTCTCCGATATTACTGACAAATTATGTTCAATTTATGAATGAAGTGCAAAATTTATGACTGGCAGTTGCGTCAAAAAATCTCGAAGGTAATACTCCGGCAAGTACACCAAGTCGTTCCTTTCCAGGAGTACTAAAAAAAATCAGTTTAGAGTCTCTGTAAAAAAACACTCACTAATGAGCCCTAAAGGTACACAAAATAAATACCTTTGGCAGTCTTCGTGCCTTTGCACTTGCACGGAGACTAAACTTTCCGTACCTTTGTGAATGCACTAACCATTTGGTGCCTTTGAAAGGTACTACTAAGCACCTTCATTTTTCCAGCGTTACGTTTCCCCGTGGAAAATAAATACAGGATTCACTGACGATTCACAAAAGACCGGGAGCGAACGGATGCACTTGACGGGTGGAGGTTCGCTTTCTATCATACCTGTTTCAACAGTGCAGACAGTAGCGGGCCAGACGCCACGCAGACACAAGTGGAGTAGAAAAGCCTCCCAGCCGGCGCCGACTCGTCGGCTCGGGATGAAATATGTTTAAAAAGCAGCCGGAGGCCCGCAAAAGTTTCGCTACTCATCCGCCTGGCTGAAACGGTTTTAATTAACTACCGTGTTGAAGGTGTCGGCTCTCCTGCACCAGCCAACCAGCCTCTGGCACACTGCATGAACTCTTTTATTTATACTGCACGCTGGGGGAAAAAAACATTATATTCGTCTCTATTCCTCGTATTTCTCGTTCCTGCATTGCTCTCCCTTTCTCCCCCTATTTCTTCCTCTCTTCTTCCCTCTCCCGAGGCGACCCTCTGTGCGTCCTCCTCATCTTCCCGCGTACACTGACATGGATTTGTTTTGCTCAAACGAAAACATGCCATTCTTTTTTTTCTTTGTTTTGTTTCTTTACTGACCCCTAAAAACTAAAAGGTTATACTTTAAAGGGTTTATCAATTGTGCGAAATGCATATCATTAGAATCAAGAGAAAATTCTCTTCCCACTGATATGCATCTCACGAAATCGAGAAAAAACAAACAGACTTACGTCCATCCTCCAGGGCCGTAGAGAGATCCGACCTTATACGCAAACCCTCTGAAGTACGACCTTATACGGAAACCCTCTGAGGTACGACCTTCTAGTTTCTCAGGGGTCGTTATTATTACAGTTTCGCTTCATCCCTCTCCCTGCGGGACTGAAGCGGATCCAACGTGATCACACATAATCTCGAGGAACACATGCGCCTGGACTGTTGCAGACTCCGTGGTGGATCTGCTGGACGCCGTGAAGGCGCCCGAGGAGCCCCTGGGCGTGCGGCGGGCGGCGGGGTTGTGCCCCCAGGACGCCGCCTACCGCCTGAGCGAGCGCGCCCTGCTCACCGCCACCACGGCGCAGATGTTCCAGAGCGGCTTTCCCAGGGACTTCTCCATCGTGCTGGCCGTCCGCCTGCAGATCGGTGAGTATAACATCAAAAAGTCTCCGTCTAGGAGGTTACTGTACAATTTTTGGTGTCTATAGTCCTCGTAATGAGCTGTTTTGGGGATTTCCTTCCCCTCTTTCTCTCGTTGTGCGCGATGACGTCCGCGTCAGTAGGCGGGTCCCGTCCGGGTGCGGGGGCCCGGGCGCGTGGACCGGCAGGGCGCGCAGGGCGTATAGGGGGCCACTCAGGTTGACAAATGGGACTCATCAAATGGACGATCGATGTCACGGGGGCCGCGGCCGCGCGCGGGGGCAGCGGCCGGGGGTCTCGGGCTGACACCACTTGTCACACCACGCTGTCGCACCCCGACCCCGCCCGGCGGGCCCGGCCGGGTCCGGCCTCACAATAACGATCGCACTATAATACATCAGCCTGACAATTGAGCATCGTAAATCTCTGTGGCTTCCGGATCGGACTGGCACGCGGCCGGCGCCACTTGTTGCCTCTTTGATTTGTGTCCTTTCTTGCCGCGGCTGTTTTTTTTTTTTTTTTTGTAAACTATCGGTCTTTGCCGCAGGTACTCCGCGCTCTGCGATTTTGACCGTGTACAACGACGTGGGCGACGAGGAGCTGATGGTGACGGTGGGCGAGGACGTCCAGCTGTACTACCGGTCGGCGGCGGCCGAGGACGACGCCGAGGGCGAGAAGGAAAAAGAGGCGTCCACCGTGTCCTTCGGCGCGAACATTGCCGATGGCGAGTACGTCACGCCTGCCCGTCCAGTCCCCTGGACGTCTCGTCGCACATTCCACACCCCCAAAACCCGTTCCCTAGTTTTTAAATATCCCGTGCAGTACCGGTTGCATCAGAATCAGAGCGGACGTTGCCGTGTTGCGGGATTGCATGCCCTCTTGGCGTGTGAGTAGGCAAACCCACACAACACAGCAGCCGTTCGCTCTGATGCATTTCAAGTGCCAAGAACAGGCTCTTTTGGTTGTGCCTCGCTCACAAAGGCCATTTTGTCGTCCGTCAGATGGCACCGGCTGGGCTTCAGCATCAAAGGGGACTCTGTGACGCTGGTCCTGGACTGCAAGAAGCACATCAACTACCCGCTGAAACGCGGCGCGGCCGAGATCAGCACTTCAGGCATTATACTGATCGGGCAACAACTCCTCGACGAGGGCTTTTTTACGGTAACAACGACAACGACGTTCAAAAAAAAATACATTCTTGAATTCGTGTTCTGTTCTATCCCGTGCCGTTTACGGCCTTTAGTAAATTCATACATAATGGAATAAATGGGAAAAAAATAGCAATTTTTTGCAATAGGCTTCCTATTTAAAAATATCAGAAAAAATCTCCTCCCTCCTAAAAAATAGAAGAAAACATAAGGAAACGGTAGAGCACAAACTTAATTTTAAATTAACTCGTTTTTGAACTTAAAATATCGCGCTTTCTGTGGTAAGATTGTCAATAAAATGTGCGCCTGTCATCTGCCGTTACGAAATTGCCAAGTTCAGCCAATGCAAGCTTCATAGCGCCTGATGAGTAGGCAAATTCTTTCCCGTAGTGCATGTGTGTACTGCGGGTTGGACTATCCCGAATCTCGCAGGCGCCAAGCTCTCGCCATTTGTCAAACGATCGAATAAATCTGAGAAACGGAAGTGCAAACGCGGTCCGCAAGAAAACAGGTACTCTCAGTGAAGCGTTAAACTCTCTTCAGCGTCAGCGCAGCGTCTTCAAATCGGATCCAAACTGATAAGGTCCGGATAAAAACGCGGACAAACCTATAATGAGACCAGGTTAAGGTTAAAAACACAGGCAACATGGGAGGAAAAACGTCGGACCTTAGCCTGGTCTGACCACCAGGCTAGCTCCAGCCGAACAGAGTATAACGGAGTGCCCTGCGCAGCGAACTGGAGCAGGCAACGGCGTTTGGCGGAAGGGCGGGTGTAGCTTGTTATTCTTGAATCGAGAAACCGTCTTCCCGGGAGGAGCCTAGCCACCCATTTAATGCAGCTGGTGTTGTTCTAGGGGGACGTGCAGGCCCTGTACATCCTGCCGTCGCCGGAAGGCGCCTACGACATGTGCAAGGCGCTGTCCGCCGACTGCTCGCGGCCCGCCTGGCGGCCGCCGTGGCGGAGGGACCGCGCCAACTCTACCGCGGCCGTCATGGCGGCCTACTCCCTCAACACGTGAGCAGACTTTACCGCCAACCAGCAATGTAACGCTTCCTAGAACATCTCATAACGCGCGTCACTTTTGTGTTGCTCAGGACGACAGTCACAGTGTCCCCCGACGCCTTCCGGACCAGGGCGTCGGCGACGTCCGGGACCTTGGATGACCTGGCCAACAACCTGGTGGAGGTCGACGGCCAGCTGGTGGACCTCGGTGGAGCTGAGGGTGGCGGCTTCACGCGGTCAGTTCACGGCTTCAGCACCTACTCGTCGACTACACCCGTCACAGACTACAACACGACGGAGAGCTACGACACCGTAAGTCTGCGCTTTACACTGCTCTGCAGCAGCCCTGGCGCTCGCAGCCTTCACCAACGACGGCGACCTGACCTGCTCATTGCTTCCAGGAAGACGCCTACGGCGACCCGTACTCGTCGCTGGCGGCGACGTCGTCTGGCCGCGGGCCACCGGGACCCCGCGGGTACCCAGGGCCGCCGGGGCCCACGGGCCCGATGGGCCCCAAGGGTGCGCAAGGCCGCGACGGCCTCGCGGGCGTCAACGGCATCCAGGGGCCTCCCGGACACGTCTTTCTGATCCCGGTAAGCGCCCTTCGTTGCACTGGCCTGAAAGCCTTGCGAGCTAGTCCCTCCCCTGGGGCACTGTAGCTTCTATAGCAGCGCTCGGGTGTTGAGGACGCGTTGTTTTGCGTTCCGGGGCACGGTATCCAAACAGCTTGGGCACTGGTCTCCCCGCCCGACCACACCACGCCCCCCACCCCTCTGCGTGGCCTGCGGCCTGCCATGCGGCCGGGTGGGGGCGGGGGCCGGCGTCCTCCGGGCCGCAGCATTCCCTGCGCGGCGCTGCGGCCGGCCCGGGCCGCGGCGTAGCACCACTGCGGCGTCCTGGTGTTTGCCGTCAACAGAGGCGCAGCCGGCGCTGTCCCGGTGGACTCCTGCTCCCTCATGTGCTCCACCAAACGCGCCTACAACAACGCCCACTCCCTTTCTCTCCCTCACACAGTTACAACCTTACGAAGCAAAATGCCAAATCCTTTGTGAAGGATTTGGCATTTTTGTTCGTAAGGTTTTAACAGTGCACTCTGCCTGCTCTTCTTTAAGTTGACTTTGTCTTGCAGATGGCGCAGCAGCAGCAGGGCAACGAGAAGGGCCCCGACGGACTGGCGGACAACTTTCGGCAGCTTCTGTCGCAGCACATGGTCAGTGCCGTCCCGCACCCGACACCCGACCCGTTTCACCGGCGCGTCGAGGACGCCGGCGATGGGGTTGTGTGCGGGACACGTAGAAGAAAGGGAATTTCACCCCTAAAATATAATCTCTCAAGTTAAAGTTTGGTAACGTCAGTGGACGGACGTCCAAGTTCAGCCTATAGCTTCATCATGATTGAGTTGATTGACGTTTGTGAACTGAACAATCACTATCCCCCCGACACTGATACGTTGCGTTTTCGTCCTCAGATGTCCATGCGCGGCGCGGAGGGCCCCACGGGGCTCACGGGGGTGGCCGGACCCGAGGGACCACCCGGCCCCGAGGGCCAGAAGGGGGAAGCCGGGGACGTCGGCGAGCAGGTGAGTCAGGGCGGCGGCGGGGCGTGTCGTCGCGGCCAGGATGCCAACGGTGACCTGACTCTTACTCTCTGCGCAGGGCCCGCGAGGGCTGCGGGGCCCGCAGGGGCTGCCAGGCCGAGAGGGGCGGCGGGGGAGGCCGGGCAGGGACGGCGAGCGGGGCGCGTCCGGGCCGCCCGGCGTCAAGGGCGAGCAGGGGGTGCCCGGCCAGCCAGGTGAGTAGCGCAGCGCCAGAGCCAGGACTTGGGATTTTAGAGACCGAAATTTTTCCGGAAACGTTTGAAACTTTGCCAGAAAAAAGGTGGGGAAAGAAAAAGACAAAGTATTTCCAGAAAAATTCAAAGTAGATCAAACTTTAAAACAAACCGCAGTCAACACGAGCCACCACTATCTGAACCCCTTCCGACGCGTGATATTCGGATTTTTTCCCATCTTCTGTTCTCCCTCCTCACCCCGTGGTGGTCGGGTACCGGGACAGGGAACTCTCTCACATTCTTGATCAGATCATCCTCAGGAGCCCACCCACACGCCCCCCCCCTTTTTCCGGGCCAACCTGTGTACCCGCTCCCTCCCCCTCCACCACTTCGTCCCACGACGTTAAGTTTTTAGTTTGCATTGCGCCCTGTTTACCGTCAGAAGTCCTTAGTTCAACTCTCAGCTAAACGGGGGTGGGGAATGGGCAAGGTAAGGAGGGGAGGGGGTGGGGATGGCTGTCAGATAACGAAACGGCTATACAGGGGACGTAACGCACATAGAAGAGGGTTTTGCACACACTTTGATTCTCCACGCCCACAAAGCCTGTGCATATGCTGCCTTCTGGACTAAAAGCTACTTACTTTAAATTTCAATTGCAAATAAGCATCCCGTTCTTTGTTTGTAGATTCTAAAACATTAAGTTCAGAGTAGCTTCAGAGCATTCTTTGCGCGACCTTAAGGCATTGTAGGTAATACGCTAACGCGACATGTTGTCACCTTACGTGGGTGAACAGCCTAGGATCGTGAAAACTATACCCCGCGGTAGGCGGCGGAGTACATCAGCATGGTCGTTATTGCTATCGGTCTTTCTCTGGAACCCATGGAACCCTTCTACCCGCGACTAGACCCCCCCC